TGTGTCACGGAGGCTCTCCGCACTGCTAAAGCTAACTCTCTCTCCTCTGCTCTTGTCCTTCTAGACCTGTCTGCTGCCTTTGATACTGTGAACCATCAGATCCTCCTCTCCACCCTCTCCGAGCTGGGCATCTCCGGCGCGGCTCACTCTTGCATTGCGTCCTACCTGACCGGTCGCTCCTACCAAGTGGCGTGGCGAGAATCTGTCTCCGCACCACGTGCTCTCACCACTGGTGTCCCCCAGGGCTCAGTTCTAGGCCCTCTCCTACTCTCACTATACACCAAGTCACTTGGCTCTGGCATATCCTCACATGGCCTCTCCTATCATTGCTACGCAGACGACACACAACTAATCTTCTCCTTTCCCCCTTCTGATAACCAGGTGGCGAATCGCATCTCTGCATGTCTGGCAGATATATCAGTGTGGATGATAGATCACCACCTCAAGCTGAACCTCGTTAAGACGGAGCTGCTCTTCCTCCCGGGGAAGGACTGCCCGTTCCATGATCTCGCCATCACGGTTGACAACTCCGTTGTGTCCTCCTCCCAGAGTGCGAAGAGCCTTGGCGTGACCCTGGACAACACCCTGTCGTTCTCCGCTAACATCAAGGCGGTGACCCGATCCTGTAGGTTCATGCTCTACAACATTCAGAGAGTACGACCCTGCCTTACACAGGAAGCAGCACAGGTCCTAATCCAGGCACTTGTCATCTCCCGTCTGGATTACTGCAACTCGCTGTTGGCTGGGCTCCCTGCCTGTGCCATTAAACCCCTACAACTCATCCAGAATGCCGCAGCCTGTCTGGTGTTCAACCTTCCCAAGTTCTCTCACGTCACCCTGCTCCTCCGCACACTCCACTGGCTTCCAGTTGAAGCTCGCATCTGCTACAAGACCATGGTGCTTGCCTACGGAGCTGTGAGGGGAACGGCACCTCCGTACCTTCAGGCCGCTCCTCCGCACACTCCACTGGCTTCCAGTTGAAGCTCGCATCTGCTACAAGACCATGGTGCTTGCCTACGGAGCTGTGAGGGGAACGGCACCTCCGTACCTTCAGGCTCTGATCAGTCCCTACACCCAAACGAGGGCATTGCGTTCATCCACCTCTGGCCTGCTGGCCCCCCTACCTCTGCGGAAGCACAGTTCCCGCTCAGCCCAGTCAAAACTGTTCGCTGCTCTGGCACCCCAATGGTGGAACAAGCTCCCTCACGACGCCAGGACAGCGGAGTCACTCACCACCTTCCGGAGACACTTGAAACCCCACCTCTTTAAGGAATACCTGGGATAGGATAAAGTAATCCTTCTACCCCCCCTTACCCCCCAAAAAAAATAAAAAATAAAAAATAACATATTGTAAAGTGGTTATCCCACTCGCTATAAGGTGAATGCACCAATTTGTAAGTCGCTCTGGATAAGAGTGTCTGCTAAATGACATAAATGTAATGTAAATGTAAGAAGGAAAGAAATTCCACAAATTAACTTTGAAGAAGGCACACCTGTTAATTGAAATGCATTCCAGGTGACTACCTCATGAAGCTGGTTGAAAGAATGCCAAGAGTGTGCAAAGCTGTCATCAAGGCAAAGGGTGGCTATTTGAAGAATCTCAAATATAAAATATATTTTGATTTGTTTAACACTTTTTTGGTTACTACATGATTCCATATGTATTATTTCATAGTTTTGATGTCTTCACTATTATTCAACAATGTAAAACATTTTTACATTAAAGAAAAACCCTTGAATGACTAGGTGTGTCCAAACTTTTGACTGGTAGTGTATATTAGTTTTACCCTCACATCTAAAGCTGCCTGATAAAGCTAGCCAGTTGATAGTAAAGCTAGGATGAATGTCAGAGGCCAGCTAGCTAAAGCAATAGCGGCTGTCAATGCAATGTCTGGTCTAGGGTTAATCTGAAATGTACAATTATATTTCACATGATAAGCAAACTACTGTCATGCCTTTTCACAAATAAATTGATATACACAGATAAAAAAGACAATTACCTTCAAGTAGATCGTAATTTACCTTTATTTACCTCATCGTCTGTTGCTCATTACATTTACGTCATTTAGCAGACTCTCTTATCCAGAGCGACTTACAGGAGCAATTAGGGTTAAGTGCCTTGCTCAAGGGCACATCGACAGATTTTTCACCTAGTCGGCTCGGGGATTAGAACCAGCGACCTTTCGGTTACTGGCACAACGCTCTTAACCACTAAGCTACCTGCCGCCCTCATGTGGGTAGCTACTTCCTGAGATTTAATTGATTGAACAATCCAGCCTATGGTTAGGCAGCTGTGGTTTTGGCAGAGGGAACTGATTGGTTAGGAGTAAAAGGTCCTGCCCCAGAGCTGCTCAAATCGAATCTTTACTTGCGAATCTCTCTGTAAACTTACAAAACTTTCTACAAGTTTACAAATCTCTTGGTAATGTGACAGAGCTCTGAGCACGTGCAGGAATTATGCTTACAAATCTTATTGAATGTATTCAAATGTCAAGTTACAAGTTTGCGACCGCTGTTAAATCTTTCACATATCATGATACAAGTTTGCGAAATTAAAATTACACGTTTGAGAATCGTACTTGCAACCACGAATTTCAATGTGCGACCACAAAATTCCAAATACAAACTCAAGTAGTTCTGTCATCATTATAATCCCATAGAAAAATAGGGTTAGGTTTGGTTAAGGATATTGTTGGAGTTAGTTATTTGCTTGATTTTCTTTTTTTGCTTGATTTGCTGGTTGAGTCAGGTGTAGGATGTGTTGTTGTGGAGGTAAAGTCAAGCTGAAAACATAGGAGAAACTGATCAAACTTGCATTATGTTTGCTTATAAATGATTATACATATATTTAAAACGTTTATGAATTAGCCAGCGGGCGCTAGTAGAGTAATGGTGGCTTAGGAAGCATGGAGAGGCTAGAGATAGCCAGCCTTGCCCCGATGGTCATGCAAAGGATCGGATGAGTGACATTTTTGGAGAAAGTGGATCCCTGTCTTTTGGCTTGGCTGACCCATATGTAGTCTCATGCTGGGTAGAAAATAAGTTGGGTCTATTAAATCATCGGTGAAGGTAGCTCGAAGTGGACTTGTAATGATTTTCTATATTTCTTCCGTCTAGACGGAGCGGGCGCTTTGCGTCACGTGACTAGGGACAGGACCTGTGACTTGCTTTGCTTTCCGGAGCAGGGTGCCTTTGAAATTAGTGATTACTGGGGTGGCGTTAAGTCTTGAGGTGGAGCAACTGAAATGGAAAATTCCCTGTGTCTGTGACACCCACTGTTTGGTATGACGCAGACCCGATGGTGAGCGTGGTGAAACTGAGAAGACATTGTCAGTCCTTTTGAGTTTTGAAGCAGTCTTTCTTTTGAGTTTTGAAGCAGAATCTTTACCTGATAAAGTCATGTTAGGATATGTCAGTTATCCAGTGAGAGATGTTGTGCTGAACCCACTAATGTGTTTCAGGTGCCAAGCTTATAGTCATGTTGCAGCAGTGTGTAGGAGGGAGATTCCAAGATGTGAGAAGTGTGCAGGAGGGAATGGAACAAAGGAATGTGTAGCATCGGTGGAAAAAACTGTGTGTCAATTGTGGTGGTGCCCATGTTGCTGGGGATCATAAGTGTCCGGTGCGAAAGAGACAGGTTGAGATTGTCAGAGTAGAACAGAACGTGAAGAAAGTAGAGGATGATGGGTCAAGGGTGAGTAGTAGGCTTAGGCCAATATAGAGTGATATGAATTTGTGCTTCAGTAAGATTAAGCATTCATTGCCGTCGTTATCAACTGTATCGCAGAAATGAAACGTAAATCACAGAAAATAGATGTTGTGGTGGCAGCTGCAGATAAGTACTTGGGTGTACGAGGTTTTACTGCAGAAGAGTTTCAAGGTGTGGTGAACGAAAGAGTCCCGTCCTCCCAGGCCGCCGGGCCTGATGTAGGATCAGTTAGGGTCAAAGTAGTGGAATGGGGTGGTGATTTCTATTTGTATGAAATAGTGGTATATATGTGGAGGGTTAGTTGGTGGTATGTAATAGTGGTATATAGGTGTTAGTTGGTGGTGCAATGTTTTCCTTTTACCCCCTTCCTTTTAGATTTTTGTATCACAAAATATGTGATTGAACACACACATAGTAGGTGGCGGCATGCACAAACAAAATGTGCGAACGCCAGGATACCAAAGAAGAAGGTGTGTTAGTGCAGGGCTGAAGCAAAAGCCTCTTCTCCATGTGTATCCCCAGACAGACAGATGCATTGATAGGCTACCACTACTAGCTTCCACTAATACGCTACTTTATGACCTCAATATCGCAGACTGATGCTTCTCTTCATTGGCATATGGAGATTTTATTGTCATTGGATGCATTGTGAAAACAAACCTTTGATTCCATTGTATAGGCCTAACATGTGGTTCAGCGAACATCAGAATGAAAAAATAAGTGCAGTAACTTGGTAAAATACACATATGCAGAAAACAACCAGACAGTAGCATGACACCATATTGAAGAACCTGCAGAAGGCCTAATGAGAAAGACCGTAGGAAAGAGACTGATATAGCCTACATTAGTAGACCTATGTCCTGTGCCTTTGTGCTCAGAGTGAATTACATTGTTTTATTGTCTCCTGTTATATCTAAAATGTATTTTACAGGTCATAGTTGAACTTTAACAATGTGAATCTTTCGTTATAGGAAATAGGTATGGGAAAGTATTACATCATTGGTCATTGTCTGCTCAACAGTGACTTGAATATGCTATTCTATTCTCAAGATTATCAAGAAAATTCAGTAAATTATGTATTTTATGATTTTTAGCATTTTGAAATATCCTCATAATGAACAACACAGATTATTGTAATATAATGGAATCTTGGCCACCTATGCTGTGTCACCTTTATGAATACATCAAAGATTTTAATGTCATAGTTTCTACTACAACTACCCAGCCAACAAAGAATGCAACACCAACTCAGGTTTTGACAGGGCCCTCGGCCCCCCCAAAAGACACTTCCCTATTTCATAGAATTCTTTCTGGACTCCTCAAAGCTCAAGGACAGAGTAACTGTTCCACTCCCAAAGCTTACTCTTGGCTTATGGATTCTCTGCTGACCTGATGGGGAGTCATTGTCATTGGTCTTGAGGCTGATGGATGAGGAGGGAGTTGAGGCGCAGGATCCCCCCACACTGCTGGACCTCTTCCTGGAGGCTGAGCTGTGTCTCAGAGTGGCCTTGGCTGCCACTTTGAAAGAATGGGCCGCAGTGCTACAGCGAACCTCCTCTATAGTGTTCCTGGACGGTTTGAAGAGGATGATGTAGACCTTATTGAAGAAAATACAGGCCAGCAGTCCAAAGCTGGAGGCTAGTATGGCAATGACCTCCACAGCCGACACAAACTTTCCGTAAGTACTGAAGTAGGCAGGGATGAAAGAGATCCAGACGATGAAGAAGATGAGCATGCTGAAGGTGATGAACTTAGCCTCGGTAAAGTTCTCTGGCAGTTTGCGTGATTTAAATGCAAAGAAGAAGCATATGGCTGCCAGCAGGCATGTGTACCCAATTAGGAAGCCTAGCGCCATCATAGAGCCCTCATTGCAGGTAATGAAAATTATCTCATCAATGTCATGGTTCCTGTAGCTCGCCGGAGGAGCATTGTAAAGCCAGACCACACATATCATCACTTGCACAAATGTGAACAGGAACACCAACAGGAACTGTAAGTTTAGCCCCCACCACTTACGATGGAGACTGGTGGGGATCTTGGCTTCAAACACTAGAAGTACTCGGTTAGTTTTGACCAGGATGCAGGATATGCAGAGAACAAAACTGATCCCGAATGCAGGCTGGCGTAGACGGCATGTCCAGTCCTGGGGTTCACCAATGAAGATGAGGGAGCTGGAGAAACAGCAAATGAGTGAGAACAGGAGGAGGTAGGACAGCTCTCTGTTTGTGGCCTTAACAATTGGGGTGTTGCGAAATCTGATAAACACTCCCATCACGAATGCTGTCAAGAATACCCCCAGCACAGAGAATAATGCCAAGGCAATCCCAAAGGGCTCTGTCCAAGACAGAAACTCTATCTCCTTCAGGAAACAGGATGTGTGGTTCTCATTAGACCATGAGTCATTGGGACACTTGGTACAAACACTGGCATCTGCAGGAAGAGAAGTCGTGTTTGTATTATTGATAGAAACATATGAAATAGCAATAGATTATATATGGCGGCGTGGTTAAGATTTTTCCCGATGTCTTTCTTACCTTTGTGATCACTGTACTCTCCTTCTGAGCATTCTGTGCATTCAAAGCAACAAGTTGGCATGCTTTCTATGATCCCCTTTCTGGTGCCTGGTTCACAATCTTCACTACAGTTAGAGAATGGCACCTAATGAAATGAGAGAAACCCAGAAAAAGATCATGCATCATATGATTTTGGATACAGAACCAATAGAAACAAATGCAGAACATATGACATACTGTATTTTAGGAAGAATGCATACAGAGCAAAGATTTTAAAGGCCAATGCAGCCGTTTTTATCTCAATATCAAATCGTTTCTGGGTAACAATGAAGTGCCTTACGGTAATAGTTTTCCATTAAAATTGTCAAAAAGCAACAAAAATGGCTTTTTAGGAAAAACAACTTTCTCAAGCAAGACTAGGACTGTCTGGTAGTGGTCTGAGGGGGATGGATGTGTAATCTGTAAACTAGCTGTTATTGGGAGAGAGATTAAGAACTCTCTTTGTTATTGGTCTATATTAATTTACACCGCCTGTGCTAACTGTGCCACTAGAGATCCTGGTTCGAATCCAGGCTCTGTCGCAGCCGGCCGCGACCGGGAGACTCATGGGCGGCGCACAATTGGCCCAGCGTCGTCCAGGGTAGGGGAGGGAATGGCCGGCAGGGATGTAGCTCAGTTGATAGAGCATGGTGTTTGCAACGGCAGGGTTGTGGGTTCGATTCCCACGGGGGGCCAGTATAAAAAAAATATATGTATTCACTAACTGTAAGTCGCTCTGGATAAGAGCGTCTGCTAAATGACTAAAATGTAAAATGTAAATGTGATGTCACCAGGCAAGCCAAAACTCCAGCCATCCAAAACCTGCAAATCAGAAAGTCCTGTGTAGATTGTATCTTCAACCAGCAACTATCAGGAAATAACTTCATCAAATTCTTCACACTTTTACAGTGTTCGTTTCATAAATTGCTGTACAATGTAATGCAAAACACAGGAAAAACGTACATTTTGGATGCACTGGGCCTTTAATATCCCTGTTTGGAGCAACATACCTCAGTATTATATCCATTCCACAGAATCTTTGTGTTATCAATGAAAAGTTGTACTCCTCTCTTAGCTCGCATGTTGTAGAAGCCGACCTCTTCAAACACAACAGAGCCATCCTCAGGAGACCGGTGCCAATTGATAATGGTGTAGTTTCCTGATGGATCAGCATTCTCATCAAAGTGCACCTTTTCTCCCATACTGTTTGAGAAGTTTAAATGTCTGAGCTGCTTGAGAACCTATAATACAGAGCCAGGTATTTGATCAGGACGGGATATAGGAAAGTGCTCAAAGGGGTCAACAAAGCTGGGAGCAAACAAAAAGAGTATACAAATGGATTTGTCATTGTTAGTCATTATACTGAATTACATTAATTAAATTTCCTACTCTTTAAAAGTGTTCATTTTACCTGCCATGCTTCTATTTTCTTTATATCTGCACATGAGTTGTTGGAAAAAAGACCACGTCCAGGAATGCAGGTGAGAATGTCCTGCAGGGCCTGTGCAATGGAGTGAACTGCAACATACACATTATAGGAAATACGAAAATGAGTGTAATCCAGGTATGGGGTCTCTGCACCCATAATGTCCTCCTCTCCAGTACACAAGGGTCTGAAACTGGTGCTCCCATTCTCACTATCTTTCAGTCTCTGGCTGTCTTCCAGATAGCAGTTAAAAGTCTCCTCCCAAAACTCCCTGACAAACTCATTGTGGCTGGATTTCTTTGGTGTGACCTCTTGTAAGAAGTCCTTGAAGCCAGGTATTTCACCTGCTCTGAGAGCAAAGCCAATGGTCCCAACTACAACATCAAGGTACTCTGGTTTAGCGATGAGGGAGGTGGTTGCCCAAGCCTCGCTGGCCAACCAGATGCGGTCTGTGATGTTCCGTCTGACCATCTCTTTGATAAGAGGCTCAATGTCAGGCCCACTGGCGAAAACGACTATAACTTTAGCCGAGGAGTTCTCAATACGGTCAACCAGCCCTTGGATTTGCCACTCCTCAAAGTACTGAGAGATCAGCTCACTCAGATGGATACAAATGTCTCGTTCTTCCATCTCTTTCTCAAACTTTTCAATCCCCGGACGTCCATACTCATCATCAGACGCTACTGCAATGACCCAGTTCCATTGGAAGTAGTCGATGATATCTGCCATGGCAGTGGCCTGGTGCTCATCTGTGGGAATGGTCCTCATGAAGGATTTGAACTGGTTCTTGTTGCTCAGCAGGCGACTGGAAGAGGCATAGCTGATCTGCAGCAATACAGGGGGAATAAAGTTACTGTGATATATTGATATTGTTTGATTTAAATAAATCAGGACATTGGAATTGAGATTGTAGCTCACCTGTGGAATGTAGAAGAGGCCCAACAGATTGGCAACAGCAGTGGAGACTGCTGACCCAGATGCCCCCACCACTGCTATAGTCGATGGGATGTGATCTGTGCAGTTACAGAATTCATCCAAGTTCAGAGAGTCAATCTTATTCTGTGCTACGAAACTGAGGGTAGCCTCCAGGGCCTTGGACACAGTGTTGCAGGTGTCAAAGATCCTGTAGCCCAGTGTGATGTTGGGCAGGAGGGTACTGCTGTTGTTGATCTCCTCTATTGCAAAAATCATGGCCTGAAGCCAACGGAATCCCCGGAAATTGTACCTGCAAGGGGCGGCACGCCATAACATGCATACCTTTTGGTTTTCATGAAGTACAATCCAATAATACTGACTGCAATGCATTCATTTATTAATTTAAATACAATTTCATTGACAGTTAGCACCAAGCATAGTTTTATACAGTTTTACATACAAAAAAAACATACAGCCTCAATTGCCGATTCAAACCTTACCTAACACACTCTGTGGATTCTGGCCGCGCTGCCAGGTCTTGGTCTTTGGAGGTAACACCAAAGTGCATTGGAAACAGCCCACCCAGTAGAATATCCCCAGTCTTCTGTGCTCTCTGATGAGGCCCATAGGTGGAGATGACAGAACTGGAGCCCAAAAACACCAGGTAATACAGGTAAAATCTCATCATTCAGCTCTCAGGAGGGGCTTGTCCTCTCAGCACAGACTTCAGAGTTCACCTCAGTCTTGTCCCCTCCAGTGACTGTCTGTCGCCTTGTTGTTTCTGACTCATGCTGTTCTTGCTCTGAAGAACATCAGTGTGAGACATCCATTAAAGAGAGAACTGGAAATGTGTATACACTTAGTTTGACAACTCAATTGTTTGTCTTACTCAACCCTGTAAAAAAATATTAAAAAGAGGAACAAATGTTTTAAAGGAGGTTAATGAACTATGACAGCTAACCATGTTTGGCCCTAATGACTGCCATTGTTCGTTAGATCTTGTCCAACGTAAAACATTGCGGAAAAAGTCGCTCTGCGCCATGAACCCTTTTGGGTATAAAAGCATTACAAGTTCCTGAGCTCCTATTGTCGTAGTCTTTTTCCTCTTGTAGACGCACAGTAGGAGTGACATGAACTGAGAGCGGCGTCACACTCCACTGCCCTTCCTTCCTGCTAGTGCAATGCTGTGACCAGTGTACCCTGTCGCCATGGAGAATAATGGTCCTGCATCTGGCTAATTATCCTGGAAAAATGCTAGGGCAGGATTGTGCTATTGAGCAAAAGCTTGCTAGAACACTCTCTGGAAAAGGATACTGGACAGGTTATACAGAGGTCGGCATGCCCTGTCTATACCAACCTGACTTTCAAATGTATGCCCAACTGTAAGAAATGAACATCTGATATACTGTACATCCACAGTGCACAATGATACCATGGTTGCTGTGACTGGCAAGTTATTGAAAGAGATTCCAATAATGAAAACCCAAGGAGGATGGATAACAAGGCTACCATCAACCATAATTGAATTTCACGTGGCATAGTAATGTCTGAGAGTAACAGGTCACGTAGTACCCAAAACACAATGCATAATTGAAAGCAAACATCTTCCAAGAAGGTAGGTAGTCTACCTAGATCCTTAGTCTTCCCTTTATGAATACACTCAAATTAGTTTTTTTTATTTAATGATAAATACAAAACACAAATGAGTTATTTCCATGGCATACATTAACAAAGGTAATGCATATTTAGTAAACGAACTAAATGAAATTAAACGTGTGAAACAGGTGTTAAGATTAACCCAATGATTGTGCTTTTGGGAAATTGTATATTAACAGTTAATGTGAGTGCATTTAATGGTATACAAAAACACTATCCATCTTATATAAAGAGCTATATACAGAGCTGAGGCAAGAAACTTACCTTGATAATGCTTGATTTCAGACTAACCAAAGAAAATTCAACTGTTAGAACAAAAATGTAATGCTGTTGGAACAAAGACTCCCGCAATTCTAGTCTCTTGAATTAATTCAGCTCAGTGGTTTCGCCAAGCCCTGCATCTGAACTAGATTAAACATTAACTAGGAGGGCAGTCCATTTCCTTTAGCTAATTAAGCCAATCTTTGGTCACTCCTTTTTCAAGTTTTTGTAGTTGAGTAAATTGCACTAAGTCTAAAAGGTACTTCCCAAATCTTACAGTTGAGCACTGAAATGGTGGAACAAATTCTTTACAGCACAGGAACAGCATTTTTTGTTTATATTCAGGGGTTAGTGTTGTGCCAAATGGCATTCCAAGATCTTTGAAGAAAAATGCAAAGACAAATACAGTCCATATATATTTTATTTGTAGGCCACACAAAATGTCTAACCTTCTTCAAAAAGAAACGTCTCCCACATGTATCATGCCAAATGTACTACTTAAATTAGGTATTGAATTAAGCGCAAATACAAACTTAACATGATAAATTACAGTACAGAAAAACTTAAAGAGTAGACTTGTCCTTTGCTATAGGAGACTTGGAAAAACAATAACATTTCTACACCACAAACTTGTTCTTTGTTATTGAATTGCTTTTGGTGGCTGTGTCTGCATGGGCTTGATATCCAATGACGAGTTTTGGAGGTAGGCCTAGTCCTTCCTTGTACTTCCGTCTGAAAATATGAATCATGATAAAACATTAATTTAACTGACCAATCACATGATCAAACAAAAAGGTAGCTTTGAAAATAAAGAAATGCTGTTAAATCTGGCTGTATGGGGGCAACTGTTGATGTCAATTATCTGTAGCCAATGCCATATGTAATACTAATATCCTGGGAGCAATAGATTGCACCATTAGGTCTTTCCTTAGTCTAGTGGACATCCATTTTTCATTAGGTTGCTAAGCAGATGTCCTCATCCTCAACAATTATAGTTTACAACATGGCTGCCAACAGGCCACATCCGGCTTCTGTGGGATCTGGTCCAAGCCTGGCTGTTTATTGACTGAGGTGAGTGAAGCCGGCAGGTAAAATCTATGACTGTTCAAGGCAAGTATGCCATAAGTCTGTCAAGATGCCTGTGAATCAGGGCAGACATGACACTACAGAAACGAGTCATTTGGTCCGGCCACACTGAATAATGCTGGACTTACCCAATATAGGTAACTGCTTCTCCATTCTCTGTATTGGTGGTCCAGACGGCGATTTTGTCACCTTTGGCTCGAACATTGACGACAGCACCGCAAACGTCCCTGCTGAAGGAGCCAAAGCCCTCTCCAATGAGGCAAAGGAGCTGTTAAAAAATATTTAAAATAACTAATTGGTTTCCTCAGTATTACGGGGCCCTGGGTCTGAACCCCATGTGCAACTGGGTCCTGGACCTCCTGACGGGCCACCGTGGTGAAGGTAGGCAACACCACTACGCTGATCCTCAACACAGGGGCGCGTGCTCAGCCCCCTCCTGTACTCCTATGACTGCGTGGCCACGCACACCTCCAACTTAATTATCAAGTTTGCGGACGACAACAGCGGTAGGCCTGATTACCAACAATAACGAGAGAGCCTACAGGGAGGTGGTGAGCGGCCTGGCGGAGTGGTGCCAGGAAAATAACCTCTCCCTCAACAAAACAAAAGGAGCTGAACGTGGACTTCAGGAAACGGCAGTGGGAGCACGCCCCCATCCACGGGCTGCAGTGGAGAAGGTGAAAAGCATCAAGTTTGTCAGCGTACACATCACTGACAATCTGAAATGGTCCACCCACACAGGCAGTGTGGTGCAGCCGCAATGGCGCCTCTTCAACCTCAGGAAGCTAAAGAAATTATTGGCCCCTAAGATCCTCAAGCATTTACAGATGCGTCATTGAAAGCATCCTGTCGGGCTGTATCACCGCCTGGTATGGCAACTGCACTGTCCGCAACCACAGGGCTCTCCAGAGGGTGGTGTGGTCTGCCTGCCCTCCAGGACATCTACAGCACCCGGTGTCACACGAAGGCCAAGATCATCAAGGACCTCAGCCACAGCCTGTTCACCCTGCTATCATCCAGAAGGCAAGGTCAGTACAGGTGCATCAAAGCTGGGACTGAAAAACAGCTTCCATCTGAAGGCCAGACTCCCAGCCTCCACCCAGTACCCAGCCCTGAACTTAGTCACTAGCCGGCTAACACCCGGTTACTCAACATTGCATCTTGGAGGCTGCTGCCCTATGTACATAGACATGGAACACTGGTCACTTTAATAATATTTCCATTCCGTTTTATCCATTTCATATGTATATACTGTATTCTAGTCAAGGCCTATCCTTTTAATCTATTGCTGTACATATACTATTCTATCCTACGTATTCTTCAGATATGGACAGTATGTGGATAGAATGTAGTATAATGTCTACACATCACATATTTATACTCCGGACTCAGACATTGCTCGTCCGAATATTTATATTATCTTAATTCAATTATTTTACTTTTAGATGTGTGTATTGTTAGATTATACTGCACTGTTGGAGCTAGGAACACAAGCATTTCGCTACACCCGCAATACCATCTGCTAAATACAGTATGTGTATGCGACCAATCATTTTATTTGGATTTGAATCAGCTTCCTGACAAATCTTGAGCACACAGTATTTCTGGCTTTCAGTGATACAAAAGTGTAAAGCAGAGTGGACCAACAACTGACCGTCTCCTTCCAGAAGCGGTCGAGTTCAGTGTGCCTCTGCTGCTTCGACAGTGTAATCAGCCAGCGTCCTCCACACTTGTTACGCCTGTCTTCCCACATTGGCTCAATGCCATCCTGGGGGAAGTGACAGTATCACTTTAGTCCAAGTAATATAGGAGTACATGTATGAGAAGTATGATGGAAATTGAAAACCTCAAACTGAAGGAGACATTTCTCCACAAGTCTACATCACCTTGAAAACGGAGTAGTCGCAACCAGATGAAAGCTTGCTCACCAGCTGAATGTTGTTGTACAACCTATAAAACCAAATACATTTTCAGTCGAGAAAACAATACAAGTGGTGGTGACCTACATCATAGGTTCCCAACATACTTTTGTAGGTTTAATTTACTGACACTTGCCTAGAAGTTGCAATACCCACAGTAGGTACAGTGGGGGGAAAAAAGTATTTAGTCAGCCACCAATTGTGCAAGTTCTCCCACTTAAAAAGATGAGGCCTGTAATTTATCATCATAGGTACACGTCAACTATGACAGACAAAATGAGAATATTTTTTCCAGAAAATCACATTGTAGGATTTTTAATGACTTTATTTGCAAATTACGGTGGAAAATAAGTATTTGGTCAATAACAAAAGTTTCTCAATACTTTGTTATATACCCTTTGTTGGCAATGACACAGGTCAAACGTTTTATGTAAGTCTTCACAAGGTTTTCACACACTGTTGCTGGTATTTTGGTCCATTCCTCCATGCAGATCTCCTCTAGAGCAGTGATGTTTTGGGGATGTCGCTGGGCAACACAGACTTTCAACTCCCTCCAAAGATTTTCTATGGGGTTGAGATCTGGAGACTGGCTAGGCCACTCCAGGACCATGAAATGCTTCTTACGAAGCCACTCCGTTGTCCGGGCGAACTTTTTTACCAAAAAGTTCTATTTTGGTTTCATCTGACCATATGACATTCTCCCAATCCTCTTCTGGATCATCCAAATGCACTCTAGCAAACTTCAGACGGGCCTGGACATGTACTGGCTTAAGCAGGGGACACGTTTGGCACTGCAGGATTTGAGTCCCTGGCGGCGTAGTGTGTTACTGATGGTAGGCTTTGTTACTTTGGTCCCAGCTCTCTGCAGGTCATTCACTAGGTCCCCCCGTGTGGTTCTGGGATTTTTGCTCACCGTTCTTGTGATCATTTTGACCCCACGGGGTGAGATCTTGCGTGGAGCCCCAGATCGAGGGAGATTATCAGTGGTCTTGTATGTCTTCCATTTCCTAATAATTGCTCCCACAGTTGATTTCTTCAAACCAAGCTGCTTACCTATTGCATATTCAGTCTTCCCAGCCTGGTGCAGGTCTACAATTTTGTTTCTGGTGTCCTTTGACAGCTCTTTGGTCTTGGCCATAGTGGAGTTTGGAGTGTGACTGTTTGAGGTTGTGGACAGGTGTCTTTTATACTGATAACAAGTTCAAACAGGTGCCATTAATACAGGTAACGAGTGGAGGACAGAGGAGCCTCTTAAAGAAAAAGTTACAGGTCTGTGAGAGCCAGAAATCTTGCTTGTTTGTAGGTGACCAAATACTTATTTTCCACCATAATTTGCAAATAAATTCATTAAAAATCCTACAATGTGATTTTCTGGATTTTTTTTCTCTCAATTTGTCTGTCATAGTTGACGTGTACCTATGATGAAAATTACAGGCCTCTCATCTTTTTAAGTGGGAGAACTTGCACAATTGGTGGCTGACTAAATACTTTTTTCCCCCACTGTATAAAACTGACAAGGATATCAGCCATTTAGCCTACTGAAAATCAAAGACAAACTGCAAAACTCACGCCCAGAAGTCTTCCACTGTGTCAAACTTTGTGATGAGTCTCAGATTATCCTGCCACATTTTGCTTTTATCGTTCTTGTAGAACCAGAGGGCCCATCTGAAACACACAAGTGATAGAATAGAATAAAAGCAGAGGTTGGTGGACCCTCTTCATATTTCAATTGTTATCTGAATTGTAAAGTGAATTGCGCATTAACTACGTTTTGCAACAGAAACCGTTTAGTTAAAATAACCAAAAATAGTAAATGAAATGAAACAGAGGGCCCTTCCTGAATTTATCTAATAGAAATTAGTTTTCGTTGCAAAACGTTTTCCGTTGAGTAAACGTTTATCAGACGGAACGTTTTGCAACAGAATCGACGTAATGAATACACCCCAGGTATGAGCCATAAATGTTATTGATTGACAAAACAAACAAAAAACAATAGAAACCTCAAAGTAATTAACATGTACTAGGAATCTCTCAACCTGAAAACACACCTGTTTTGTAGGGGATGCTTCACATGTGGCTCCACAACAACACATACCACTTTGTTATCAAGCCTTTTTTTGGCTCCATCAATCTTTTTTAGGGCTCCTTTGTCCTAAAAATGGGAGAAGACATTTATAAATAGGCATATAGGCAACGAGAGAGTAGGGAGGTGACTTCGATTTGATTAAAAGTCAACGGAATCAAACAAGCAAACATTTTAACAAAATTGTTTGGTAAAAAAAATGTTTGTCAAATTGATTTCGAAATCAAGCAATTGAACACTTATATTCCAGCAAAATATAGCCTAACGAAACCTTACCAAGCGAACTGCAACGCACGCCATCATTAATGTAATTAGTTTGACGAGGCAGGTGTTGCACTTGAGGTGTCGCAGATAATTGAAAGGGGTTCTTCCGGTGGATTTTGACGAAATATCGATTAAACCAGAGAGGAAGAGGCAAAGCGAGAGGGTCCACTCCCGTCAAAATCATTCCACGCGGGAATACAGCGATAAGCAGACGGAAACGCAGACCGCCTTGCAGGCAGCTGCCTTCCCGCCTTCGGGACGACTCCCATTGTTAGGGCGGAGATAAGACCATCTCGTCATTATATACAGTATCTCTTATTAAACTTCAGTTATGACATGTTGGCCTATAACCGATGTACTTTGAGCATTTACCACAAGATGGCGCCGTAGGCAAGATACGGTCGTTTTAATTATTCTTCAGGGCATGTTATCGACATTTGTTGAGGGGAAATCAGAGGATTATTATTTTTTAACTTTTTTTAAATTAACAAATCAATACAAAAAGTACATACAAAGGACATTTGGGCTAGGGGGTACAATATCACATTACACAAGGACCTTAAGGGACATACACACATTTATAATTCTAACAGCTTTTTTGTTGATAGAGTATTTAATTGTCTGAAATATACATATTTATATTTTTTGTAAGGTAAGAAAATGTAGTGTTTTGTTTGTACATTTACATTTGTGAATATGAAATTTGGCCAAAAGAATTATGAAATTAAATACATAAAATAGTTTCAAGGGCGGCAGGTAGCTTAGTGGTTAAGAGCGTTGTGCCAGTAACCGAAAGGTCGCTGGTTCTAATCCCCGAGCCGACTAGGTGAAAAATTTGTCGATGTGCCCTTGAGCAAGGCACTTAACCCTAATTGCTCCTGTAAGTCGCTCTGGATAAGAGCGTCTGCTAAATGACCAATTATTTTCAACTTATTTATATCATAGGTAAAGAATCCAAGCAATACATCTCTCCATAATAGTGCAAAATCTTCATAAATGTGTTCAATTATAAATCTACTGATGTCTTGCCACAGATTCCTTACATGAATACAATGCCAAAAAGATTGTCATTACAAAAGGTACAATCTGAATTTATGTTTTTCTTAAACTTCTTCATATAGTGGTTGGCAGGATAATATTTCTGAATCATTTTAAAAGAAACGTCCTTCATTTTGTTAATAAGTAGGTATGTGTGTGGCAACATCCAAAGTTTTTCCAATAGATATTATCAATAAAACCATTCCAATAAGGCATGACATAAGGTATAGATACAACATCCTGTTGAAACAAGGCTCATATAGCTCTATTGTTGTTGAATGGAGGTAAAGAAAACCAATCTTTCCTACTGATGAGTCAACATCGTACGTATGTTTTGAGGGTCAGGTCTTGACACCTTCCTGAATAATAAAGCAACACCTGAGGGAAGGGCATCTAAAACAATTGCTAAATATTTATGTCTTACAGGGATCTTGTAAAGTGATAAGAATTCCTCATAATTAAGTAAAATACCCTCTGCATTTACAAGTTGGCTCACCAATAGGATATTATTTCAGAACCAATATTCTAAAAACAAAGAACTATTTTTATACAATATGTCCCGATTATTCCATATATAATTTTTGTGTGGAAAAAAATGATGCTTATAAATTAAGGACCATGACAAGAAAACCTGTTTCACTGGAACTTTGTCAATATTATAATTAACATGAAGTTTAGGCCACCAAATGTAGAGAAGACATGATGAGGAATAAAGTTCCACATAGAAGTGGGTCTTCTTAGGAATTGTTTTATCCAATTGATCTTAAAAGTATTATTTAAGGTAGTAAAGTCCAGAAAATTCAGCCCACCATACTCATAAATGTTCATTACAACAGTTTTCCTAATGTAATGGGTATGGTTTCTCCACAGAAATCAGAGGATTCCACACATGCGGTACAGAGCTTCTGGACTGGAGGGAGTGGGCCTACACTCAGTTTTCATAGTGAATTCTAAAGCATGTTTATTTTGCACTCTCAGAGCACGTAAATATAACGAAGCATAATCATTGACATTTTAGAACTCATGAAATTTAGTGGAAGCAATAACGACAAAATACAAAATAAGCATGCAGTGTTTTATTTAATTATGATTTATTGTCATATATCACACTACATGTTTGTCTGTGGTTTGTAAAATTTCCATACAGTAGTAGACTACAGTCAAAAAGCCATAAACCCAAAACATTTCCTATTAGAGAATAAGATCTATTGAAGTGGGGATTTGATACACCTTCTGGAGGACTGTGATCATCAACCGGTTAAGAAATACATGAGTAAATTATGAAATACTGTATGTACCTTATTACCTTTTACGTCACAAGTCACCTAAATGTGCCCTGTTCTGGAATGTTCATATAGGTTTTGCCATGAAGGTGAGCATCAAGCTCAAGTCACTACCATGCATCCCTAAAATAATGAATTCACCACCATACTGTAACCAAAAAACAATAATTCAATAAAACAATAAACAAATAATTAATTAAAACCCCAGTCTATTGGACATATTCTCTAAAACATCCCATTGAGCCGTTGACATTACCAATTATGGACAGGTTGCGGACCAAGTCCAAGTTCTAGAAAAATCAGTCTTGATCCTCTTTTTTTCAGAAATGGCACAGACATCTGAAATGTAACATAATCTGTCTAAAATGCTTGTACTTCAGAGATGTGAAAGTTAACAGGAGAGAAGCTATAGGATGGGTTTGTGCCCACAAATACCGAGGACAGAATGCAGGACAACCCAGAGAGTCCGCACCTTAGCACACGGCCAAGAAGGTAAGATTACCTTAATTTAATACTAATAGTGACATGCACTGTAGCCTTCTGTACTGCAGCCTTGGTGCTAATGGAGTGGATCTGTATGGTCTCATCTGCTGCCCTACAGGCAGTATCTCTTCCATGCATGAACTGCAAATATCTAATATCTATCTAGTATTTATGAAACAGGGAGAAGAAAATCCACTGCTACAGTCCATCACAAATATAATTTCAAAAGAAAACAGCTAATTGTTTGCTTGATTAATTTCATATGAGTTAAACATACAGCTGGTCATAGCTTTGTTTGATTTTGACATATTAAATATTGTATTTGTCACTCTGATCTTGTTATCAAATTTGTAATGCATGTGGAAGATTATCTAATCCTATTTATGAAATACTAGAGACTGAATGTACTGCTTGCAAAGGTTTACAATAGTAGTAGCTTTGTCTGTAGTGTCTTACAAGCAGTAATGTACAACAGTTTACAGTAGATCTATAATTCAAATCAACACTGCTTGTCATTGGTTGATAGATAGAGTCAGTCTATACATTTGAATTCTGTTTTGATGTAATACAGGCCTACCATTACTCAGTGTTCTAAAACAGTTGGTTGTACAAATTATGCGATAAATGGCATTTTGATGGGCAGATCTTCTGCTCTTGCAGGATGTCTGGTGCCAGGCTGTTACTGTTCATACAGAGCCTGTCTCGTAGGAAGCCCCTGGAGCCAGAGGGGGAGGTGTCCAACTTCAAACGATGTCTGACTACCCTTGACCTGGTGGCTCTGGGGGTTGGCAGCACACTGGGGGCTGGCGTGTATGTGCTGTCAGGAGAGGTGGCCAGGGCCGTAGCTGGGCCCAGTATAATGATCTCTTTCCTTGTGGCAGCAATAGCTTCAATTTTCGCAGGGCTGTGCTATGCTGAATTTGGAGCGCGTGTGCCCAAGACTGGCTCTGCCTACCTGTACAGCTATGTGACGGTGGGGGAGATTTGGGCCTTCATCACTGGCTGGAACTTGTTGCTGTCATATGTCATAGGCAAGTGACATCTAATATGGAATATAGAATATTTGATGCAAAATACGTTTTATTGGAAGCTACTGTCAGAGCTCAAGCCCATAAGGTTTGTATAAAGCATCACAAGAAACAATCAACAGTAACAATTAGAGTTCACTGCTGCATTGACAATGTCTCATTGACATACTGTAATTATCCTTTAAACATAGCCGACATCACCTGCTTTGGTTTCTTGATTTTTTCTCTGATCAGGAACATCAAGTGTAGCCAGGGCATGGAGTGGGACTTTTGATGACCTCATTGGAAATGCCATTGCCAACTCTTTGGGTCAACATGCAGCAATGGATATGCCAGGCCTCGCTACCTACCCAGACTTCTTTGCTGCTGCTCTCATCATGCTGTTGGCAGGCAAGTGCTATTATCAGAAAGGTTTAATGGGGCAAAATAACTGGTCAATGGTGACAGTAAATAACTATATATATACAGTGCCAGTCAAAGGTTTGGACACACCTACTCATTCAAGGGTTTTTCTTTATTTTTACTATTTTCTACATTGTAGTATAATAGTGAAGACATCAAAACAATGACATAACACATATGGAAACAAAAAAGTGTTAAACAAATCAAAATATATTTTATGTTTGAGATTCTTCAAATAGCCACCCTTTGCCTTGATGCGTTTGAGCCAATCAGTTGTGTTGTGACAAGGTAGGGGGGGTATACAGAAGATAGCCCTATTTGGTAAAAGACCAAGTCCATTTTATGGCAAGAACAGCTCAAATAAGCAAAGAGAAACGACAGTCCATCATTACTTTAAGACATGAAGGTCAGTCAATATGGAACATTTCAAGAATTTTGAAAGTTTCTTCAAGTGCCGTCCCAAAAACCATCAAGCGCTATGATGAAACTGGCTCTCATGAGGACCGCCACAGGAATGGAAGACCCAGAGTTACCTCTGCTGCAGAGGATAAGTTCATTAGAGTTACCATCCTCAGAAATTGCAGCCCAAATAAATGCTTCACAGAGTTCAAGTCACAGACACATCTCAACATCAACTGTTCAGAGGGGACTGTGAGAATCAGGCATTCATGGTCAAATTGCTGCAAGGAAACCACTACTAAAGGACACCAATAAGAAGAAGAGATTTGCTTGGGCCAAGAAACACGAGCAATGGTTGGAAATCTGTCCTTTGGTCTGGAGTCCAAATTTGAGATTTTTGGTTCCAACCGCCGTGTCTTTGTGAGACGTGGTGTGGGTGAACGGATGATATCCGCATGTGTTTTTCCCACCATAAAGCATGGAGGAGGAGGTGTTATGGTGTGGGGGTGCTTTGCTGGTGACACTGTCTGTAATTTATTTAGAATTCAAGGCACACTTAACCAGCATGGCTACCACAGCATTCTGCAGCGATACGCCATCCCATCTGGTTTGGGCTTAGTGGGACTACCATTTGTTTTTCAACAGGACAATGACCCAACACACCTCCAGACTGTGTAAGGGCTATTTGACCAAGAAGGAGAGTGATGGACCTGGCCTCCACAATCCCCCGACCTCAACCCAATTGAGATGGTTTGGGATGAGTCGGATGGCAGAGTGAAGGAAAAGCAGCCAACAAGTGCTCAGCATATGTGGGAACTCCTTCAAGACTGTTGGAAAAGTGTTCCAGGTGAAGCTGGTTGAGAGAATGCCAAGAGTGTGCAAACCTGTCATCAAGGCAAAGGGTGGCTATTTGAAGAATCTCAAATATAAAATATACTTTGATTTGTTGAATACTTTTTTGGTTACTACATGATTCCATATGTGTTATTTCATAGTTTTGATGTCTTCACTATTATTCTACAATGTAGAAAATAGTAAAAATAAAGAAAAACCCTTCAATGAGTAGGTGTGTCCAAACTTTTGACTGGTACTGTGTGTATATATATATATATATATATATATATATATATATATATATATATATTAATATATATATACAGTGGGGGGAAACAGTATTTAGTCAGCCACCAATTGTACCAGTTCTCCCACTTAAAAAGATGAGAGAGGCCTGTAATTTTCATCATAGGTACACGTCAACTATGACAGACAAATCGAGAAAAAGAAATCCAGAAAATCACATTGTAGGATTTTTAATGAATTTATTTGCAAATTATGGTGGAAAATAAGTATTTGGTCACCTACAAACAAGCAAGATTTCTGGCTCTCACAGACCTGTAACAACTTCTTTAAGAGGCTCCTCTGTCCTCCACTCGTTACCTGTATTAATGGCACCTGTTTGAACTTGTTATCAGTATAAAAGACACCTGTCCACAACCTCAAACAGTCACACTCCAAACTCCACTATGGCCAAGATCAAAGAGCTGTCAAAGGACACCAGAAACAAAATTGTAGACCTGCACCAGGCTGGGAAGACTGAATCTGCAATAGGTAAGCAGCTTGGTTTGAAGAAATCAACTGTGGGAGCAATTATTAGGAAATGGAAAGACATACAAGACCACTGATAATCTCCCTCGATCTGGGGCTCCACGCAAGATCTCACCCCGTGGGGTCAAAATGATCACAAGAACGGTGAGCAAAAATCCCAGAACCACACGGGGGGACCTAGTGAATGACTTGCAGAGAGCTGGGACCAAAGTAACAAAGCCTACCATCAGTAACACACTACGCCGCCAGGGACTCAAATCCTGCAGTGCCAGACGTGTCCCCCTGCTTAAGCCAGTACATGTCCAGGCCCGTCTGAAGTTTGCTAGAGTGCATTTGGATGATCCAGAAGAGGATTGGGAGAATGTCATATGGTCAGATGAAAACAAAATATAACTTTTTGGTAAAAACTCAACTCGTCGTGTTTGGAGGACAAAGAATGCTGAGTTGCATCCAAAGAACACCATACCTACTGTGAAGCATGGGGGTGGAAACATCATGCTTTGGGGCTGTTTTTCTGCAAAGGGACCAGGACAACTGATCCGTGTAAAGGAAAGAATGAATGGGGCCATGTATTGTGAGATTTTTAGTGAAAACCTCCTTCCATCAGCAAGGACATTGAAGATGAAACGTGGCTGGGTCTTTCAGCATGACAATGATCCCAAACACACCGCCCGGGCAACGAAGGAGTGGCTTCATAAGAAGCATTTCAAGGTCCTGGAGTGTTCTAGCCAGTCTCCAGATCTCAACCCCATAGAAAATCTTTGGAGGGAGTTGAAAGTCCGTGTTGCCCAGCGACAGCCCCAAAACATCACTGCTCTAGAGGAGATCTGCATGGAGGAATGGGCCAAAATACCAGCAACAGTGTGTGAAAACCTTGTGAAGACTTACAGAAAAAGTTTGACCTGTGTCATTGCCAACAAAGGGTATATAACAAAGTATTGAGAAACTTTTGTTATTGACCAAATACTTATTTTCCACCATAATTTGCAAATAAATTCATTAAAGATCCTACAATGTGATTTTCTGAACTTTCTTTTTTACATTTACATTTTTTACATTTTAGTCATTTAGCAGACGCTCTTATCCAGAGCGACTTACAGTTAGTGAATACATTTTTTTTTTTATACTGGCCCCCCGTGGGAATCGAACCCACAACCCTGGTGGTGCAAACGCCATGCTCTATCAACTGAGCTACATCCCTGCCGGCCATTCCCTCCCCTACCCTGGACGACGCTGGGCCAATTGTGCGCCGCCCATGAGTCTCCCGGTCGCGGCCGGCTGCGACAGAGCCTGGATTCGAACCAGGATCTCTAGTGGCACAGTTAGCACTGCGATGCAGTGCCTTAGACCACTGCGCCACTCAGGAGTAACAACAGTTTTTGACAGCTCTTTGGTCTTGGCCATAGTGGAGTTTGGAGTGTGACTGTTTGAGGTTGTGGACAGGTGTCTTTTATACTGATAACAAGTTCAAACAGGTGCCATTAATACAGGTAACGAGTGGAGGACAGAGGAGCCTCTTAAAGAAGTTGTTACAGGTCTGTGAGAGCCAGAAATCTTGCTTGTTTGTAGGTGACCAAATACTTATTTTCCACCATAATTTGCAAATAAATTCATTAAAAATCCTACAATGTGATTTTCTGGATTTCTTTTTCTCATTTTGTCTGTCATAGTTGACGTGTACCTATGATGAAAATTACAGGCCTCTCTCATCTTTTTAAGTGGGAGAACTTGCACAATTGGTGGCTGACTAAATATTTTTTTTCCCCACTGTGTATATATATATATAGTATACTATATAAGGAGCTTACATAATGTATCACTTCCATAGGGATCCTTGCATTTGGCGTTAAAGAGTCTGCTATTGTGAATAAGGTTTTCACAGCAGTTAATACAGTGGTGTTGGGGTTTGTTATCATCGCTGGCTTCATCAAAGGTGACATTAACAACTGGTACATTAGTGAGGACACTATCCTGAACATAACAACAAATGGGTATGAAGTTTTTTTACTTTTAATCCCAGCACTATTATGAAATACGATGTAAGTGTTCTAATGAATTACAGTAAATTGAAATTCAAATAACATGAAGTGTGTCATTCCCCTTCAGAAACTTCACATCGGCACTAAATGAAACAACAAATTACGGTGTTGGTGGCTTCTTCCCCTTTGGTGTTGAGGGAACATTGGCAGGAGCTGCAACCTGTTTTTACGCCTTTGTTGGATTTGACTGCATAGCCACAACAGGTAACTGTTGTATAATTGTGCTGAAAACCTTGGGCATTTTAGAATGATCAATAGTAGAATCAATGATGCCATTGTCTCATCTGTATGTATAACATCTGTATGTGTAATCTCCCAGGGGAGGAGGTGCAGAACCCTCAGAAGTCCATCCCTCTGGGCATCGTAGCATCCCTGCTGATCTGTTTCCTGGCTTACTTTGGCGTGTCGGCAGCCCTGACCCTCATGATGCCCTATTGCATGCTCAGCGTCAATAGCCCATTACCTGTGGCCTTTACATACATCGGCTGGGGCCCTGCAAAGTACGCTGTGGCTGTAGGCTCCCTCTGTGCACTTTCAACAAGGTATGGTATGGTATTATATATAATTACAGAAGTTGTCCCCCGTAGTGTCATTTGTAAAGTTTATGTGGTGGATTGTAAATATGGTATTATATATAATTACAGAAGTTGTCCCCTGTATTGTCATTTGTAAAGTTTAAGTGGTGGATTGTAAATGGTGTGTTGGTTTTGCAGTCTTCTAGGATCCATGTTTCCCATGCCCCGGGTCCTTTTTGCGATGGCCAGGGACGGGCTGCTCTTCAAGCCACTCAGTAACATGAGTTCTCGACAAAGTCCTGTGGTAGCCACTCTATCTTCTGGTGTTGTGGCAGGTAAAGCTGCTGAGCAGCACAATATCATCAAGCCTAGGTCATCGAACTATGTATTGACATTTTAAAATGCAGATGCTGTTCCTTGTTTGGTTGGTATTCACAATGTACTATGTTATCAACTTTTTGTTTTTGCAGCAATCATGGCTCTATTATTTGACCTGAAGGCACTTGTGGACATGATGTCAATTGGAACACTCTTTGCCTACACTCTTGTAGCAATATGTATTCTCATATTGAGGTATGCTTGATTGATCTGAACGGAGACATTTTACACAATATGATTTAACACCAGAGCATGTATGCATTTTATCTGGTTACTGTGTATGCGTTTAGGTACCAACCAGATCTCGGTGAGGAGTCCAGTGATAATACATCTGAATCATTTTCGATGATAGAGGCCCTAAACCCTCCTTCTCAGCCCAATGCTCAAACCTCTAAAAATGTATCCATGTTCACAGTCTTTATCAGTGAGTGATTTTCTTTATATCCTGTTTCCTTTTATATCCAGTCTCATACTGTCTTAGAGGTCTGACACATTTGCTTTATCCTCCCCAGTCCTTTTAGCAATTATTCTGAGCGTTGTCCTGACCAAGGCTGTGGATTCCCTGATGAACCAGGAGTGGTGGAGCATTTTAATCGTCTCTGTGATCCTTTTGATGCTGGTCCTCACTGTTTTCATCATCTGGAGACAGCCTCAGAATACAACAAAAGCTGCTTTTATGGTAACATTTCAGTTGACTCTTGATCTACAGTACAGTGGTATGAAACCATTGCGTCAAAGCTTAACTTAGATTCTCTGCAATTTTGACCCATTTTGTTTGTTATCTCTGCAGGTTCCTTTTATACCAGCACTTCCTATTGTGAGTACATTTGTCAATGTCTATCTGATGGTTCAGTTGGGAGGAGACACATGGATTCGCTATGCTGTTTGGATGGCAGTGGGTAAGGAACCTAGGAACCCACTGGGCACACACTGGTTGAATCAATGTTATTTCCACGTCATTTCAATTAAATTAAGTTCAACCAACGTGGAATAGATGTTGAATTGACTTCTTCAACAATGCATACAATGACATTTAAAAATAAATGATGTCATGCCATTGTATGAAAATGATTAGTGACATTGTATTTCTTCACAGGGTTATTGATCTACTTCTGTTATGGAGTTCATCACAGTGTGCAAAAGCAAAGGCTGGAAAATGCACACAATCAGGTCAACATCCAAAGTCTTAACACAAATATGGGATAAAACTTTGTGACGGATGAGGATTCCTGTGGCCCTGATATCTGACCTGGAATTGGAATAAAAGATTTCAAAAGAAGGGAAACATCAATCCATTGATATTACCATATAAAGCTGTTTTGATTTGAAAGGGGCATTCCATAACATACCCTACTGCTAATCACTCATTTTAACTCTTGAAATATATACCCCTTGAATTTTAACAACAAGGTGCATAGTTTGCATAAACCAGCTCAGGTTATCATGTGAACAATTTTATATTTGAAGGTGTTGCCCTGACACTTTGTTTTAAACAGAAAATCATGTGGATTGAGCTTTACATAAAACCACTTGTCGTGATGAATTTTAAATAAACTTTTACTTAAATCATGTAACAAGAGGCCAGTAATGTAACCAACATGAACAAACTTTTACAAATATATATATATATATATATATTGTAGTCTACAGTACACTGAAAATACCAGTTTTTTTATTCTGTCGTGAGTATCACAATAAAAGTGTTTTTTATGATGTGGCCAGCGGGTGGTCTTGGAGTTAGTGCTGCTGCTAGTGATGCTGCCTTCCTCATACATATACCACTGTTGGCAAGGGTTCGAATCTAACTCACCATCTTCCTGACACTCCTCTCTATCGTTCCTGTCTCTCCAACTATCTGTCCATCAAAATACATTACCAATTTAAGGGGGAAAGGTGCCGTAGGTTTTGATGTATCTGTTGTATTTTATACATTATTACAGTTGAAGTCAGAAGTTTACATGCACTTAGGTTGGAGTCATTAAAACTTGTTTTTCAACCACTCCACAAATTTCTTGTTAACAAACGATAGTTTTGGCAAGTCGGTTAGGACTTGGGGACAAAGATCGTACTTTTTGGAGAAATGTCCTCTGGTCTGATGAAACAAAAATAGAACTGTTTGGCCATAATGACCATCGTTATGTTTGGAGGAAAAAGGGCGTCACTTGCAAGCCGAAGAACACCATTCCAACCGTGAAGCACAGGGGTGGCAGCATCATGCTGTGGGGGTGCTTTGCTGCAGGAGGGACTGGTGCACTTCACAAAATCGATGGCATCATGAGGATGGAAAATTATGTGGATATATTGAAGCAACATCTCAAGATATCAGTCAGGAAGTTAAAGCTTGGTCGCAAATGGGTCTTCCAAATGGACAATGACCCCAAGCATACTTCCAAAGTTGTGGTAAAATGGCTTAAGGACAACAAAGTCAAGGTTTTGAAGTGGCCATCACAAAGCCCTGACCTCAATCCTATAGAACATTTGTGGGCAGAACTGAAAAAGCGTGTGCGAGCAAGGAGGCCTACAAACCTGACTCAGTTACACCAGCTCTGTCAGGAGGAATGGGCCAAAATTCACCAGACTTATTGTGGGAAGCTTGTGGAAGGCTAACCGAAACATTTGACCTAAGTTAAACAATATAAAAGCAATGCTACCAAATACAAATTGAGTGTATGTAAACTTCTGACCCACTGGGAATGTGATGAAATAAATAAAAGCTGAAAGAAATCATTCTCTCTACTATTATTCTGACATTTCACATTCTTAAAATAAAGTGGTGATCCTAACTGACCTAAGATAGGGAATTTTTACAAGGATTAAATGTCAGGAATTGTGAAAAACTGAGTTTAAATGTATTTGGCTAAGGTGTATGTAAACTTCCGACTTCTGTATATGTAATAAAAATTCAAATGTTTACTTTTTGTTGGTCTCCGTAGGCTATACTATATTGAAAGGTCAGTTGGCTAATTTATTGCTACCCTTTTAACAATAGTAGTAATTCATTAGTCCTACAGTATAATCACAAAGAGAGCTGATTCTCTATCGAGAGTGATTAGATGTCCACCTTGTGTATACTGGATTGTCAGTTCAGTCCTAGTCAGAAATACCTGGACTTTGTCACATTGGTGTCAGAAGTGGAATGGCACACGAAATGTGTTTGCTGCAGAAAAACATGAAGTGACTTAAATTAGTGGTCTGTCTCACAAGTCAGCCTGGTCTCATAGACTTGACGTAACATAGTAAATGTACATCCGGGACACTCAAATTAGTATGATATGTTATGTTTGGTATAGTTACATAAGACAGAAGGTTACTTAAGGCAAAAAACTAAAGTAGGGTGGATGGGTGGGTATATAACACGAACGTCTAGCAACCCAAAGGTTGTGTGTTTGAATCTCATCATGGACAACTTTAGCATTTTAGCTAATTAGCAACTATTTCCTACTTTTTAGCTACTTTACAACTACACTGAACAAAAATATAAACGCAACATGTAAAGTGAGGGTCCCATGATTCATGAGCTGAAATAAAAGATCCCTGAAATTTTCCATACACACAAAAAGCTTATTTCTCTCAAATTTTGTGCACACATTTGTTTACATCCTTGTTAGTGAGCATTTCTGCTTTGCCAAGATAATCCATCCACCTGACAGGTGTGGCATATCAAGAAGCTGATTAAACAGCATGATCATTACACAGGTGCACCTTGTGCTGGGGACAATAAAAGGCCACTAAAATGTGCAGTTTTGTCACACAACACAATGCCACAGATGTCTCAAGTTTTGAGGGAGCGTGCAATGGGCATGCTGACTGCAGGAATGTCCACCAGAGCTGTTGTCAGAGAATTTAATGTTTATTTCTCTACCATAAGCCACCTCCAACATCGTTTTAGAGAATTTGGCAGTACAACCAACAGGCCTCACAACCGTAGACCATGTGTATGGTATCGTGTGGACGAGCGGTTTGCTGATGTCAACGTTGTGAACAGAGTGCCCCATGGTGGCGGTGGGGTTATTGTATGGGCAGGCATAAGCTACGGACAACAAACACAATATAATTTTATTGATGGCAATTTGAATGCACAGAGATACCGTGACGAGATCCTGAAGCCCATTGTGCCATTCATCCGCCGCTATCACCTTAATGTTTTAGCATGATAATGCATGACCCCATGTCACAAGGATCTGTACACAATTCCTCAAAACTGAAAATGTCCCAGTTCTTCCATGGCCTGCATACTCACCAGACATTTCACCCATTGAGCACGTTTGAGATGCTCTGGATTGACGTGTACGACAGCGTGTTCCAGTTTCCACCAATATCCAGCAACTTCACACAGCCCTCAAAGAGGAGTGGGACAACATTCCATAGGCCACAATCAACAGCCTGATCAACTCTATGCGAAAGAGATGTGTCACGCTGCATGAGGGAAATGGTGGTCACACCAGATACTGACTGGTTTTCTGATCCATGACCCTACTTTTTATTTTTTAAAGATATCTGTGACCAATAGATGTATATCTAATTAATTTATTTCAATTGACTGATTTCCTTATATGAACTGTAACTTAGTAAATTCTTTGAAATTGTTGCATGTTAAGTTTATATTTTTGTTCAGTATACTTACCATGTTAGCTAACCCTTCCCCTAACTTTTAACCTAACTCCTAACCTTAATCCTAATCTTAACCCCTAGCCTAGCTAACGTTAGCCACCTAGCTAACATTTGCTTTAGCCACCTAGCACACATTAGCCACAACAAATTGAAATTCGTAACATATCATACGAAATGGATGATGGACACCCACAATTTAATGCATACTGTAGCATATGAAACGTAACATATCATACTAATTGGAGTGTTCCGGACTTCCGTTTACTATGTTACGTCTAGCCCTGAGTCCAGGTTGAGCAAGTGTGTGTGCATCCTGAATGAAGGTAATAATAATAATTTGTCTGTGTTATCTGAATAGTGTAGTGAGTTTGATTTCTGATCAAATATTCCACTCTGCCTACCAAACGATAGAGCGGAAGTTCTCAGTTGACATACATCCTAAACCGACCAATGAAAACGTTTGCTTACCGTCCCGCACGCTTGGTGTGTAAAAAAAAAAAAAACGGTTAGCCAGACTGAAACGGTATAGGACTGAAACTGTGCTGTAGCTAGCTACCACATTTTACCAAATACCTGAAAGGGGACTTCTTTAAAGGTATGTTTTACAGCAATCACAATTTGAATTGAATGTAATAGTTGAACTTCATGCTTAAACATTCAGACCAAAAATGTGATATCTTGCTTAATTTTCTAGAAAGCTTTGGTAAGCTACTTCTTGCATGCTAGCTAGCGGGCCGCTAGGCAGCATTACCCAGTCCTGCGTGCAGCTAGCTAAGCTTGGTAAAAGCAGCGCGAGCTAATAGCTTACAATACAGTAACATTATAGCTAATAAACATGGCGCTTGGTTGATAGCTTATCTTTTTTTCATCAGGGGGTTAAGACGATATTAAGCTTCGTTTCGCAGAGTTAAAGATGCGTAGTTAACGTTAAAAACAAAGCGCTTGTGCTGAAGGCCTCTCCACCATTGAGAATGTAGCTAGCTAACGTTAGCTACCGTGCAACAATATTCTGGGAAACGTCTTATTTTTTCAGTAAGGAACATCATAGCAAATGAAGACTATCAAGCTAACTATGGAATTAATTGAAGATGGTAGGCATTCAGTCAGTGCTAAGGAGACTTTCATCTGTACGGCCTACACTTTTTACCCGAGCCTTTTCTCAACCCCACGATGTACGTCACATCAATGTGGAGTTGAACGGAGACTACTTTGGTCGGACTGAACCTCCGATTACATCGAGTCGCTGTCAGTCGCTACTTGTACACATGTAACTATTAACCCCTTGCCTAGTGACGTTACGTTTGATACCGGAGCTCCGAGGGCGAGGCATGCGTCGAAATCGCGAAGTAGTGTGCCAATGCGTGTATCACTTTATCAGAAGTACGTCATCAATGGCGTCCGAAGCTTCGTTTGATCACGTGCTTTTTCAAACCATGTGTTACAAAATGCTAGATCCCACTGATTTCGCCCTGGTTCCGGTGTTTTATTAGATTCCAAGTTGCTTTCAAACACCGACCTCTACTAGACACCGTACTTACAAATATAGTTAGGATTTTGTGCATAAACCTTTACCTGACAGGTAGTTTAGCAGGTAGAGGAGGGGCTATGGAACATTCAGGGACGTGAGGGTATGAGGAGGCCGAATCTGGTTGAAGGCACACTATTTAGAAAATGGTTATTTCTGCACTTGTTCAAATAATTTGTTTTATTTATTATAGTATAAGCTTCTGTCTTAAGCATCCTAAATAATTCAGTTTTTCAAAAAGAGTCAACTTGGAGGCAAAAAAGGGAAGCATGATGCAAACCTGGTATTCCAACTGATTATACACTACTAAAGCCAACCAGTTACTGCTGCGCCCAGTGTTATAATGAAAACAACGGAGGAAAAAAATACCTCTATCTGATAATCTCACGCTGCTATTTATTGCTGACCAGCTGATGTCACTAATGTGCATTGTGAACAAATAATGAAGCTCTAAGTAATGAACTGTTTTTTTCCCATGACTACCTGAAATCCCAGCCTACTCAACTCCAAAATGTATGATGGAGTTAAGTGGCAACTAGTGTGGGCGTACTGGAGCTATGACGTCACATAAAAATGACGTTTTTATCAAAAACGACTTCAGCCGGGATTATACCAGTATTGCAATATTTTTTCCCATGGCAAAAATGATAACACGAAGCAGACCAAACTCGTTGGTCCTTAAAAAACCTGCTGTATGTAAATTATTGTGTGCAATAGCTTGGAAAATAAATACATGTGACTGGATGACAACATGTTTGTTTGCAACATTATGGCATTTTTCCTAAATAAGTTAAATCTGCTTCGTCTTTTGTTTCATTGCCACGATATCGCAATATTTTTATCGTCCTGGCCCTAAAAACGACTTATTTCAGCACCGAAAGAATAGCCCACATTTACACAGGACATTGTCAACTTGTTTTTTTCTTTAAAAAAAACATTTTGTGTGACGTCATAGCTCCAGTCCGCCCACACTAGTCACCGCTCAACTCCATCTTAAATCGTGTAGTTTAGTCTGCTACTGAAATCCATACTTTTTATTAAAACTTTCGTAAAATGCAACCGGTTTCCTCGTATCGACTGACAGTGACTTGATGTAGTCGGAGGTACACTCCGCCCACAGTCGTTACACTCATTACTTTAGCCATCTGTTGAAATTACTGAACATAAACTTTCGCCCCATTTCAGAATAAACTTCTCTGTGCCCTGGAAATTTGAGGATGGAGGGCAGTGAGGGTCAAAGCTCTGCACGCAAAGGATCTGGTGATGGAGCGTTGAGCGCTATGAATTTATATGCCACTCTGGGGCTCTCTCCAGAAGATGTGGATGCTCTGGCCAAGATTCCAGAGAACGAGATCAGTGTGGAGACACTGCCTTATCTGATAATGCAACTGAAGGCCAAGCGAGCCAAGCGAGAGGAGCAGGGAGAGCCCTCCCCGAAGAGAGACGGGCAGGAAGAGGATGCAGATGTTAAAGACTGCAGCAAACAGGACAGTCCCCCTGCAGTCCGTCGCCGGTCAAGCAGCCATAGTGACACTGACAATAGGAAAGTGGAGGTGCAACCAGAGCGGGCCGAGGCAAGGAGAGATTCCCATCACACTAGGCCCTCGACGGAAAAAACATCAGACAGCCAACCTTCTTCCTATCAAGTGGAAGATTTTCAAGGAGTTGTGCCCAATATTTACCCACACACATGCTCTCTATGCTTCTGCATGTTGAATTCTACTAAGGTAATCTTTGTTATATTTCAATACTCTTGCTGTTGGAGTGTGTATCTACAAGTATATCCTGTTAATCAGAATACTCAACCTTTCATAATGACATTCATTTTTGCTTAATATGAGTTTGCTTTTTTCACAGCAATGGAAGGATCATCTCAATGGATTACGCCATGCAGAGGGCTGTCGAGAACTCTTGCATCTGTAAGTGTTTCTATGCAAAGTAAAACATTTAGAAAATGAACTGATGCAGGTCACAAAATCAATCAGCAGAGGTATTTCCTATTACCTGGTTTTATTCATATTTGTTTATTTTAATCTTTTATTTTTGTAAATTTTGTATAATTTTTTTTTTTACTTTTTTTTTTTACAGATATCCAGATTGGGAAAAACAAGATGTCAAGGGGAAGAAAATGTGAGGGTCATGAAATAAAGCTTTATGTTTAAAACAAGCATGTCATGATGTAAAACAATTAGCCGTTCCTCTTCTTACTTAGCACTGTTTATCTTCCAGACCAATTTCCATCCCAAGTAGAGATGCTAATTCACCGCCCAGAAGAGTGCCACGTCCTGCTATGCCTTACAAGCGACAACATAGCTCAGACCGCGTAGGAGGTGATAACCTCACGTCCCGTCATAATGTCAAGTTTGATCCAGACCAAATAAGGCCCAGTGGCAAACAACTTGAAAATTAAATCTCATTTCATGTTCTCATCTTTAGGTGAAGTCTGGTCTGCACCAGAAAGACACCATTTGAAGCCCAAGGTAATGCCCCATTTGTGTCATTGTGTTGTCTTATAAATAGAGCATTTTTCATTCACTTCTTATGATGGAGTTTATTTGCTTAAATCTACATACTTCAATGTGTGATTTTATGTTTTGCAACAGGCTGGCACAAAGGTGGTGGTCGCTAAATATCCCCGTGGCTCTGTTGCTGTTGAAGACTTGGTGACTTTGGCTAAGCCATTCGGCACAGTTGTAAAACATCTGGTGTTCCCCTGCAAGGTAAGTTACACAAATTGATAAGAAACTCAGGTTTAAACACTCATCTCTTTACGTTCTCTCTCATTTTTTTAAATGTGTAGTTTAATGTCTATTGGATGATTCACTGTTGTTTTTTGTTACAGGGCTTTGTGGAGTTGGGTTCGCACAAAGAGGCAGTCAATATGGTGGATCACTTCAGTGAAAGCAAAGCTTTTGTGAAGGGAAATGGTTTGACTCTGTACCTGTCACCTGTAGTGTGCAGTATTTATGTAAGTACACCTGCCTCTTAAAAGTTTGAGATTCTGTATTAATCACAGAGGATCCCAGTATGAGCTTGTTTTTTCCTTTAGACGCCAAGGTCGGATGAACCACCAGGAAAACGCCCCAACAAACAAGTTAGTAATACAGTGGTTTGTTTTTCCCGCGTACCTCCTGGGAAGGAAAGAGAACCAGAGATTTTAGAGCTCGCCAAAATGTTTGGGGATGTGCGACATTCATCATTTTCAAGTGATCAGGTAAGGTTCGAGCAATATGGAATTGAAGTGTAATCAATCAAATCTTCAAATATCTCTATTTCAAATAGAAAAACATTATTAAAACAATTGAACAATGCTGTGTATCTATTTTAAATTCAGAATAGCATGGAATTGTATGACTGGAGTAGATCAATCAACACCAAAACCTCCATTATTCACCACCACCTCTAGCTTTCTCTTACAAATTCTTCCTTATCCATCTGCAGGCCCTGATTGAAATGGTAGATTGGAAGGATGCTGACATTATGGTGAAGTACTACCACTCCAACCCCCTCAAGATCAATGGAAAGAGTGTCAAAGTCAGCTTGTCATCATCACTGAAGCGCCTGAGGTAAGTAAGAGTCCACCTGGGGCTATGGCGGCCAGACCAATTTTCCTGTAGGACTCGTCGGGAAGTTTGTGTCAGGGAAGTTTACCTCAATGGTTTTTGCCTTGTAGAGAAAGTCCAGACTCCACCACATCCAGAAGAGCAGATTCCAGTAAAAGCCAAAGCAGCAGACAGAAGAGCGAGGAGACCAGCAAGACCTCAAACTCCACAAACGAAGAGGGACCAAGTACAGGCAAACAACCTGATGAGAAAGTGGTGGAACAAGGAGAAGGTCAACAAAGCTCCTCAGAGGAGGTTAAAGAAGAGGTAAAGCAGGAGATCAAGGACAAGGAGGAGATCAAGGAGGAGGTGGTCAAGAATGAGAGAAAAGGGGAGGACATTGATTTGGAAAACAAAGATCCAGAGAAAGAGGGCGTCCATGTGGAAGATGAACAAAGCTTGTTAGATAAGGTTGGAGCTGGTGTTGATACTAACGACTCTGCTCCTTCCAAAAGTGCCCCTCTGGTGGCTGATTCAAAAGATAAGGGGGAACCCGAAAGCACAGAATTGTTGGCAGACGATACCTTGGAGGATTCTGACCTAAAGGCTGCCGATGATCCAGCTCTGTGTGATGCTGACGTCTCAGTGGAGGACGTGATGGAACAGGAGAGCTTTCATGAACATGGTGTAAGGAATTCTTGTCATTCATAATTGTGACCTGAACCAACAAAGGCATATTGTTTGCAGAATTGAAAATACGTTTTTGTCAAGTAAACAAGATGTTGGTTCCCAGCAATGGGTTCTTAAAGCAGCTTGGTTGAAGTTCTGGGAGCATTCCCGAGAATGTAGTTTGGTTGAGATCCTCCATTGAGCAGTTGAAACAGATGTGGCCATCTTATGCCTAGAACTACTGAAATGGTTTCAGTGGCAAATAAAATCGATCTGACACTTGTGATTGAAGCTCAGATTGAACCTCGTCAACGCAGACAAACAGTCAAGATGTTTTCTGACTCATGTCGCCAATGCCCGGTTTCAGTCATGGATTGTTGGAATACTGAGTTTGCTTGGTAGCATAACATGCAATGTATCTAGGCTTAATGACATGGTTTATCTCTATGTGGGCTTAATGACATGGCTTAACATTTTTAGTCATTTAGCAGACGCTCTTATCCAGAGCGACTTACAGGAGCAATTAAGGTTAAGTGCCTTGCTCAAGGGCACATCGACAGATTTTTCACCTAGTCGGCTCGGGGATTAGAACCAGCGACCTTTCGGTTACTGGCACAACACTCTTACACACTAAGCTACCTGCCGCCCTGCTTAACTCTATGTAGGCTTAATGACATGCTCAGGGTTTATTCATTCCATCAGTTAAATGATGGAGATCAGCTTCGAAGGGTGTCTCTTTCCATGGTTGAATATCAAAGGTGATAGAATAATCTCTGTACAAGCTCTAGAAAACCTAGCCTGTCAGTAGTAATCCAGAACAGGTGTTTACCTATGAAAGCTCCCATAGTAAGACTGAGTTCAAGTGGCACAGCGTTTAAGCACTCGGAAATCAGTCAGACATTTTAGATCTATGGATCAGTAGATGTTCAGCCTAGCTGTTCAGCCTTAACTGGTTTGATCCTGGACTGACCAAATTTTTTTAAAATACGATTTAAGCTGTCTATCATTTTGTTATAGTGCAGCCACAGGATTCATGTCCTAGCTTTAAGAGACATGGATCTTCATCATAGTTCAAGACCATTGAAAACAGTTTTGCATACTTATATGTTCAGTGTTTGAGCAGCTTTTGACAGTTTCCCATTGCAACCTCACAAATATTTGTCATGAGATTCGATGTGATTCTGTTGCAGCCCTTTGGATCTTGAAACATTCTTAATTCTTTAACTTATTGATGTTCTGTACTTATTCCAACAGGACGACATGGATGACATGGATTTCCCTGATAATATGGATGATTTTGTGACATTGGATGAACTTGACAACGATACTGAAGGGGACGTGTCACTCGGTAAGCAATGAATGATGAAAAACATTCTTACTTGGCAGCAAAGGACATAATTTTTTACTGTTGTTCAGCCTGTGCGGATAACAAATTAAAGATAATCTGCAGATCATAATTTATACAAATTACTTTTCTTTTTATTTGCAGAGTCAAAGGATTCTTCATGGGTTGGTATTCCTCCAAATATACAACTACATGGTTAATTTAGAAACGTGAAGTTGGAATGTGTCAAAAGTGTAGAAGTTGTTTTATCCAACATTATTGCTAGTAGGTTGCTCAGTAAAACTGTTTTCTACAGGATGGAAGAGTTGTCCATATTAGCCCAATCAGAAAGGGCTATAGAGACGTAGAGGTGGCCATCGTGAAACTGGCAGAGCGAGCAAACGTGAAAGTTGTAAACCATACCATATCCTTTTTCAGACAGGAGGTAGGTTCATTATTATGTTACTTGCCGATATGTTATTTGGGGATCAGTTATCTAGTTTGTTTATGGGATGGAAATAATAATGTTGTCGTAGTTTGTATGACGTTGTGCTTTCTCTAAATTTGCAGGCATGGTTAGAGCTTGATACTACCGATGAAGCACATAAGATGGTGAAATTCTACAAAGGCAAAGGACAGTTGTTGGGGAAACATGTCGATATTAGAATGTGCTATTCACAGAAAAAGTTGGAGGTTGGTTTGGTGTAGTACCTATGCTCTGCACGTTATGCATTTGATGAATTAATTGTAATAAGCTAAACTACACACCTAGCATATAGTCAATATTTGTAACACAATGATGAGTATTATGTGTAATGTGTGACTTTGTTTCTGTCAATGTAGAGTCCCAGTGGGAGATCCATCTACATTTGTTTGCTTCCACGCCAGAAGTACTCGGACGTCTCTCTGTTACGGCTTGCCCAACCTTTTGGGAAAATCACTGGCTATCATTTGAACTGGGTTCACAGAAAGGTAACGTTTCACCAGCCCATTTGTTAAGGAGGAGTTCATGTGTTTTTCTATTGATAAAGGACTCACATTGTTTTTTACCTTTCCAGTGTTATATCCAGTTTGAGAGTGTGGAAGCCGCTCAGAAAATGGTGAAGAAGTGCTTCCAACGTCCTCCCCGATTTTACGGCACCCTGATAAGGGTCAGTTTGTGCAAAAAGGGAGACTCACTTATATCCTGGTAAATAATTTTCAATAACCCCTAAGATTATGCAGTGGGAGTGTGCAGCAGAGTAGATGATGGAAATTCGTTACATAAAGTTTAATTTTGCTGATATCCTATCCAGCCAACGTCCACTGCTGGTGCAGTTGATTGATATCAATTGGAAGAATGAAGTAATCTCAGATAAAATAATATTGTGTTATATGGTTCAATTGGACTGTGTGAGTTATAGTACTGGGTTGACATTGAATTCTACTGTCCGGATACAGGAAGCCTCCAGTCAAGTATGAGCTGTGGTTGGCCAGTCAAAACAACAGAAGAACAAGAGATCGCCATGGAGATGAGACTAATGGCCAGTCAGCCAAAAGCCACTCTCCAGTGGTGAAAGAGAAGGTTATTTGCTATAATTTTGTTTCCCTAATTTAAATGAGGTGAGCGATTGCCTTGTTTAGTGAAATGCTGGCTGAATATTTATGTATTTAGGCATTTCTGTGAACAATACTTTTACAGTTACCCGGTTAGTAATCAGTTAATACTCTTCACACAGAAGAGTAAAGATATTTATTGGTGTTGGTCTCTCAATCTCAGGCTTAGTAGAACAAATGAGTGATAGACATGATTGTGTTTGTGTGACCAGGATGTCCAGTGCCCTGTGTCTGATAGTGAGGGGGTCTGTGTGGACCCTGAGGGTGAGGAGACCAGTGGTGTGGAAGCTGTCCCAGAGGAGGAGAAGAAGCAGCAGGAACCTCTGGGTCCTTATCAACATGACAACCCTGTTGGTAAGAGAGAAACTGACTTCTGTTTCAGTTTGGCTGTCTTTTTTTTATTATCAGGGGTGATGGAGATATCAGTAAGGACAAAAACAAGTGGAGTTTTTCTGTCCTTTTTATTTGTAGGGTTAGACTATCTGGTGCCAAGGACCGGATTCTTCTGCAAGCTGTGCAACATCTTCTACACCAATGAGAAAACAGCCAAATCAGTCCACTGTAGCAGTGAGGTACATTACCTAAACCTGAAGGTAATTCTCAACTGTAACAAGTCATTCTTATGAATCCTTACTTTGTGGTGTATTGGTAAGAAAATGTAGTTGACCTTGGAGGCCAGAATACGTTCAACATTCCTCTGGGTTCACTGTCAAATGTTAATTCTTAACAATAAATATCTTGAATATTAATCACCGTCATAGGGAAACCTTATTGATTTAAGCTAGTTTTACCTATGCTAGTGGAATCTCGACCAAATGGAAAGATATGAGACTTTTTAGGGGATCTATTTTAGCAGGTGTTCTTGGTTATGAGTTAATATTCCATTTGAATATCCCACTGATTTTCTTTTTTTTCAGAAAAAGATGGATGAAGATAAACAGCCCTTAGCTGATTGAGAGGGTTGCTGTCCACCTGTAGTCTTCCCAGAGGAAGATTAGCCGTTTTAGTATAAACGTTTCTGTCCAGTTTGTTTTTAACATTCCAGAATTTTCTGTTACTGTTGACAACATTATGTTATCCATTTGAAATGAATTAATGCAGCCTATTATGAAATGTAGTCCCATTATGTGGTTAATAATAGTACCTGGATATAGTTTCCTCTTATTGAATAAACAAAAATGTTTGCTTGATGTATTCTTTGACTTCTGGAATTAAATGTGTCACCTCTGTTATGGCTAACATTTACTCTGAACCTTATTTGACAGGCCTATGGTTGTTAATGTTTTTCAATGGTTAACTGTCATCAATGACTAGGACATGTGCACAGGATTGGCTGGAACTACACCCAGAATTTGCCATAACCCAGAGAGCCATCTGGTGCTTGACTGTGACAGCAGAGCTGGCTAAGATTCACCTACCCTGTCGCAAGGAGCAGCAATTCGCTTGAGGAAAGGACAAATGGGGGAGATTGTTCAGTCCAAACCAGCATGAAGGATTTAATCCATACAGGCCTAGATACTTTTAAATGATACAAACCAATCGGGGGAAAGTTCAGTAAATATATTCCATAACATTATACATTTCACACAGTACTCATACATCTGTGTACATTAAGTAATACATTAAACCAGAAAAATAATGTAGGTATAAATATGACTAAACATTCGATACTGAACATTAGCATGCAACAAAGTTTTGTGAAACAAAATTGCCGTATAGCGTTCACATTCCACACTGTAGTAAATAAGACGAGTCGTGCTGTAAATACCTAAATAAAGAATACTGTAAGGTAATACTATTGTGACTATCATTACAATGACTTTTGTAAATAACAAAAAAAATGTCTTCTTGGACAATGGCACAGTTCCATGCTGTCATGTCACAACTGTGTTGACAGAAACCTTGAACACCAGTCTGATGCACAGAGAACATCCATCCACACTGATAGAAATGACACACATGACCATGTAACTTGAGTGAAGGCTGCATTCACACAGGCAGCCCAATTCTGATATTTTTTTCACTATTTGGTCTTTTGACCAATCAGATCACCTCTGAAAAAGATCTGATGTGATTGGTCAAAATACCAATTAGTGGGGGGAAAAATATCAGAATTGGGCTGACTGTGTAAACGCAGCCGTAGAGCCACTGAGCTCATACAAAGGTTTATTGAAGGATGTCTATAATACTCGGTTAGAGCACAGTGAGATTTTCAGTATGAAGTGACATCTAGGGCCCCTATAGAGAGATCATCTGGGAAACTTCACGCTGCCCCTGCGCTAATGAGAGAGAAACTTTGGATCCATTTAGGGGAGACGTGACATTTTTACATTATCTGGCGTGGCATGCCGTACCCTGTCATGCCAGACTGAGAAGCCCCTGAGTTGCCGCCCATCTGCATGCCAATCAGACTACGGCCTTGACGCAGCTGCTCCTCAGAAAACTCCCGCCGGTTTCCCTGAGCTTTCCTGAAAGCACAGGAGAGACAAAACTGGTCAATTACCTGCTGTGGTGGATGTTTGTACAAGAGAGATTAAAATGTATGTCAGACAGTAATAACATGGAAGCATAAACAAACAGATGAGAGAGGTGGTGGGGGTTAGGTCATGCAACTTATTGTAAATAGCTAATTTTAGAGTGGTATGTAATAAAGAAATTGACAAAGTATCTTTGCTGTTTTGTAGAACTCATTACAAACAGATGATTAGTTCCTTACTTATGAAACCAATCAGGTTCACCACGATATTGACCATCATCCTTTGTGAGCGCCATACTGCCTAGAGCCGACAAGGTCCTTTGCACGGCAGCCATATCCTTCCCTGTAGTCACACCAAATACCAGACAGATATTTCAATACCATATTTGGCTTTAGTAGGTCCTCATTGGGTATAATACAAATTTGTTTTTGTAGAAGAAAATGTATGATCTGCCAGGAAGTTATATTATATTGAACCCATATATTTACATACCTGAAGTTATCTATCATAACAACTAACAGGTTGCTGCATGTGAGTTTATGCTGGAGTGGAATCACTACTGTATTAGGAGAGCTGTACCTTCCCACAGGTCCACAGTCTGGAAAAGGTCCCCGGTGATCAGCCCATAAGCTTCAGCTGCATGCAGGAACTGGGAGATCTTCTCCATCTGCTTGAAGACCATTTTTGTCTCTGGGATCTTCTTTATGGGCTCTTGACCAGTGGGATAGAGGCTGTTAATGAGCCTACAAAGAATCTGCAATGAGAGATTTAATATTGTAATGACAGGATACAACTGGCCTACACCCACCCAGCCTCATCAGGGGTGGCCGTGGTTGGTTGCTTGTAGGAGAAACCCCATAATGCCTAAGGCTATCAAATATGGCACATTATGACCATGGTGGATTAGAGTCTGAGATTATTACATTTTTACATTTACATTTTAGTCATTTAGCAGACGCTCTTATCCAGAGCGACTTACAGTTAGTGAGTGCATACATTATTATTTTATTTATTTTTTCATAATGGCCCCCCGTGGGAATCGAACCCACAACCCTGGCGTTGCAAACACCATGCTCTACCAACTGAGCTACATCCCTGCCGGCCATTCCCTCCCCTACCCTGGACGACGCTGGGCCAATTGTGCGCCGCCCCATGGGTCTCCCGGTCGCGGCCGGCTACGACAGAGCCTGGATTCGAACCAGGATCTCTAGTGGCACAGCTAGCACTGCGATTATCTGTTTATGTGTGTTTTAAAGTGATGCTCCAGAATTTTTGTATAATTTCAGTCAGTAGTTTTGAAAGTGGTGCTCACGAGCCAAAACGGGTCCCCGTTTTTTGTGTACCACATCATTCAATTGTGTACTATGTCATCCATTTCGTATGATATGTTAATTCCCCCCACCCCCCAGTTGGTATGATATGTTGCGAATTAGTACAATATGTAACAAATTTGTTGTGCATAAGATCCCGGACTGCATCTTTAAGAGTTAGGTTTAGAATACAGTAAAGGCATGAGGTTATGTAAAAATGTTAGTCATTTAGCAGACGCTCTTATCCAGAGCCACTTACAGGAGCAATTAGGGCTAAGTGCCTTCCTCCCTAGGCTACCTGCTGCCCTATGTCAACCAGAGTTTGGGTCAGAGACTCACCGTTCCATCTTTGAGCCAGCTCTGGAAGTTTAGTCTCCCAGGCTCTGGTCGCTCTATGTTCCCCCCAACCTGCAAGATGATCCAGTCCACCAGTCTGGCCTCCAGGTCCAGAGTATACTTCTGGTCTATCTTCTCCTGAACCTCCCTACTTAGTCCGTAGCTGGGTCCTCTGTTAGCCATGGCTGCCGGAGTTATAGCCCTTCCAACAGAGTGACTGCAAGGAAAGGGTTCAATTCAACAGATAAATATCGCCAACCCCTTCTGTAAAACATTTGAACTGCCATCTAGTTTGAGGATGTGTCAGATGTGTTGGCCTATGCTGCTGGAACCATACACTATGGCTGTGTTTACACAGGCGACTAATTCTGATCTTTTTTCCCACTAATTGGTCTTTTGACCAATCAGATCAGCTCCTTTGACAACAATTGGGCAAAATATCAGAATTGGGCTGCCTGTGTACATTTCACTGCTCTCTGTTTATTCTTTGCATTCATAAATAATGCACTCTATGCAGCTCGCACATAATCCCGCCCTGCGCTTTCATTTCCGATGTCATATGTAGGCTATATATAGCTAGATGCGGGCATGCGTGAGCCTATGACTTCAAGGAGACGCAGATAACGTAGTTGTGAAGTTCAGCAATTTTCTTCATATTCGTACACCTCTAGCTTCACATTGAGAAATGTATAATTTAACCGTGTGAGTGATACTTCTCTCGAAAACAAATTCAAGGAAAATATGATATAAATGTAATATACGTAGTGTTCCCGTGATGCGCGCGGTGTCACTCGCCACTGGACAGCATATGCAAGGCAGGATTTATGAAACGCCATAACGCACTTGCATATATAGGCTAAAGAAAAAGGCAAATGGAACCCCCCAAAAATAAAAGTCCATCTCGGACCTTCGAGCTATAGAAATAACTTAGGCAAAACAGTCTGGATACACTCCCGCCAAGGGAAAATATTGCGAGTGCAAGCGCATGCAACATAAATTCATTTATTATAGCATGCGCAACACATCTAGGCCCATTCGGAATGTCATTCGGCTCAGCACATTATTTTCCCATTTCATTCGTTTACTTACTAATTTTAAATGAATGTATGGTCCGCTTCGTTCAGTTCCTGGTCGTTAGCCCTGCTCTGCAGTCACATGCTGTTCAAACTGGACGGACATCTTTGAGGGGTGCGGTACCAAGCTCAGCATCCCTACTAAGCAGCCGTTCTCGGACTCGCCACAGCTTTCAGTGCCACGCGAGTGAAGTGATGCCTCAGCGCCTTCGCGCCTCTGACAGGGGGATGTAAGCGATGAATTCATGGCCTAACGGGGGAAACGTCACAACATCCAGTGATAATGTCCAGGAATGGTTTTAGGACTACATTACCCTTCAAGAATTTACTGGGAGTTCATTACAATTATTTCATTAATGTAGGCCATCAATGATTTGTATATAATCTTCACCAGTCAATTTTACTCCCAGTTAATTTTACTACCATGGTTGATATGTGTGTGCTTTCTCTATGTTGATCAATACATTGATCTGTTTTACATTTAAATTATTTAGCAGACGCTCTTATCCAGAGCGACTTACAGTTAGTGCATTCATCTTAAGATAGCTAGGTGGGACAACCACATATCACAGGCATAGAAAGTAAAAATTTCCCTCAATAACGTAGCTATCAGTGGAGTCAGAGCCAGAAGAGGAGGGGGATGGGGGGGATCAAGTGTAAGTGCTGTTTTTGTATTTATTTATTATAAATGAAGATTATTATTATTTGTATTTATTTTTTAAAAAAATTGGGGGGGGGGGTGTCAAGGTGAGGAGGATACTGTTTGATTCAAAAGCCATTCGAATCAAGGCATATTTGCCTTAATCTCGACGAAACCACGTTTATAATTCCTATAAAATAGTTTATATTCATATACCTCACAAAAATACAGCAGCTTACGCTATATGAAAAACGTCTATGGAGAAACTAAATATACGAAAAAACTGTAATGTGCATTTTCCTTTTTAAATGTTTATTTTGACAGAATAAACAGGATAATAGGCTACATACAGTAAATGCATTCTGCAAGCTATACACTCTTACATCAAGGACAGCGCTGTAGAGAAAGCACACTTATCGCAGTGATTGTATTCATCCACCCCCACTGAGGTGCTGATGCTACTGTCTAAGACACTGTGGCTGCTCAGCATCTCCACACCACCTCTACTGACCATCTGTCACTGTCTACCTGTCAAGGTGAGCACGAGCATTCCCCAGCATCTCCATAAAGAGCCTGTTGTTTTCACTGGAAGACAGATAAATGCAATCTCACTATTTCAAAACGCATGCCAACAGCAGAGTTACACATTATATGCATGTGTAAGCCGTGTTCTAAATAGGACATGTTTTGGGTGTCATTGCGGTTATGGGCGACTGTAGAGTGGTCGAACGTCAGGTGTCCCATATCCATGTAATACTGGGCATCTGTTCGGAGTTGTGTCCAGTACTCATTGGCCTTAGGTAGTTAAGCAATAAGGCACGAGGGGGCGTGGTATATGGCTAATGTACCACGGCTAAGGGATGTTCTTATGCACCACGCAACGCCGAGTGCCTGGTAACAGCCTTTAGCAGTGGTATATTGGCCATATACCACAAACCCCAGAGGTGCCTTATTGCTAACTGGTTACCAATGTAATTAGAGCAGTAAAAATAAATGTTTTGTCATACAAGTGGTATACAGTCTGATATACCATGGATGTCAGCCAATCAGCATTCAGGGCTCGAACCACCCAGTTCATAAAGAGCAATATATCATGGCAATGCAAACAAACACAAGTACATGTTTACACAGGTAGAAAGCCTGGACTGGTCAAAGGCAATACAAAATCCATACACACAATACAATGGTAGTTGTGGAGGCACCTATTCTTGAACAGTGTAAGACCACTGGTTCTGGCTGGGATCCCAGTATCCTGATGATCTCATCAGTCTGATGAATCACTTAGCTTCCTCTTCCTTCACAAATAAAGCAGCAAAAACCCCTGTAAAAAAATATTGGTATTGCACATTTCTGTTTAGTAATTTCTAAAATAAATGTTATTGAGATTGCTTCTGACCTGAAAAAAATGATCTTAATCCAGTTGTGTAAACGACCAAAACAATTTTTTTTGTAAATATAGGCCACTAACAAAACATGCCTGTGTTGCCACACAACCCTTATTAAATTAGACAGTTTGATTATGCATCTGGAAAAATATACCACTGCTGCAACCTCTCATAGCCTTCAACCATCAACCTGTTAAAGGTATTTAAGGGAGTTCTGTAAAACGTAGCAGAAATAAGTTAGATTTACCTGAAGCTGGAGACGTGAACTGTTGCTCTGTGGCATGTAAGAGAGGCTCTGGGTTGGAATCTCACAAATGGATGCGAAGGGAACAAAACTCTCTTTCACAGGGAATGCAGAAAGCCCTGAGGAATGAATACCAGCAAGCTTGCAAGGTAGCAACCTGTTCGAAATAGGCCTTTCACACAAACTCATCTGGCTGGGCTGGTGCTCACAAGCTCTTAAAAACAAGTCCAGCACTGAGGATCACATAGAGACTGATAGATTAATTTGTATTTTAATAATGACTAAAGGATTTCACCCCAAATACAGTATAAATGTATGAACGGTGTTAAGAGTTATAATGTAGTGTCAACCCACTAACAGAGGGGGAGGAGTTAGAAACTGCTGAGAAAGCATTCCAGGGTGAAGGGGACTGAGGAGCTGTTTAAAGGTGGGCGGAACAAAGTGCCTTTGTGTGTCAGGGGGTATAAAGGCTGTGTATGTATTTTTTGGCGCCAGAGCTCTCCATGAATAAAAATACAGATAATTCTTGCTGGTTACGGACCTTTGTTTAATTCATGATTAAACCAGAGAATTTACACCCTCTGGGAATTATTCAGAGCATTAAGTTTGATTAATTAGAGATAGAAATTCTCGTGACAGAGACCCTGTACAGAAACTTTGTTTCCACTCTGACTTACCAAATATTTAGGTTTCTTTCCTGTAAAGGACAAGTCTCAGTCTTCAATTTGTCAACATTGAGCTTTTATTAATGAAAGCAGTAATATATAACAGAAACAGGACACTTCATACATGTTTGGAAACGGCTCATTTATAAAAAATTAAAAAATAAAGAAAAGAGGCCTATCAGATATTTTATTTAACCTTTATTTAACTAGGCAAGTCAGTTAAGAACAAATTCTTATTTACAATGACGGCCTACACCGGCAAAACCTGGACAACACTGGGATAATTGTGCGCTGCCCTATGGGACTCCCAATCACGGCCGGTTGTGATACAGCCTGGAATCGAACCGGGGGGGGGGGTCTATGCAGTGCTGAGATGCAGTGCCTTAGACCACTGCGCCACTCGGGAGCCCAGATGTACAGTATGAGAGAAATAAACAAAGTGAAAATGTGCAAAACAATGCGTTAGGCCCACCCTGTTGTTAATCCATAAGTTTTGTTACTTTGCTTATCGGTGTCAGCTTCATATTGTATTGTTAGGATCACTATAAAGGGAGCTAACCCATCAATTCTGCAACATAGTACTATTACCTAGAAAAATTTAACTGTGATATGGAACAGGTCGAAAACAAACTTAGTTCACAAGATGAAACATTCCGGATAGAGGTTGTGATATATATACAGTTGAAGTCGGAAGTTTAAATACACTTAGGTTGGAGTCATTAAAACGCGTTTTTCAACCACTCCACAAATTTCTTGTTAACAAACTATATTTTTGGCAAGTCGGTTAGGACGTTACTTTGTGCATGACACAAGTCATTTTTCAAACAATTGTTTACAGATTATTTCACTTATAATTCAGTGTATCCCAATTCCAGTGGGTCAGAAGTTTACATGCACTAAGTTGACTGTGCCTTTAAACAGCTTGGAAAATTCCAGAAAATGATGTCATGGCTTTAGAAGCTTCTGATAGGCTAATTGACATCATTTGAGTCAATTGGAGGTGTACCTGTGGATGTATTTCAAGGCATACCTTCAAACTCAGTGCCTCTTTGCTTGACATCATGGGAAAATCAAAAGAAATCAGCCAAGACCTCAGAAAAAAAATTGTAGACCTCCACAAGTCTGGTTCATCCTTGGGAGCAATTTCCAAACGCCTGAAGGTACCACGTTCATCTGTACAAACAATAGTACAAGTATAAACACCATGGGACCACGCAGCCGTCATACCGCTCAGGAAGGAGACGCGTTCTGTCTCCTAGAGATTAACGTACTTTGGTGCAAATCAATCCCAGAACAACAGCAAAGGACCTTGTGAAGATGCTGGAGGAAACAGGTACAAAAGTATCTATATTCACAGTAAAACGAGTCCTATGTCGACATAACCTGAAAGGCCGCTCAGCAAGGAAGAAGCCACTGCTCCAAAACCGCCATAAAAAACCAGACTACGGTTTGCAACTGCACATGGGCACAAATATCGTACTTTTTTGAGAAACGTCCTCTGATCTGATGAAACAAAAATAGAACCGTTTGGCCATAATGACCATCGTTATATTTGGAGGAAATAGGGGTCGTTTGCAAGCCGAAGAACACCATCCCAACCGTGAAGGACAGGCAGCATCATGCTGTGGGGGTGCTTTGCTGCAGGAGGGACTGGTGCACTTCACAAAATAGATGGCATCATGAGGAAGGAAAATGTTGTGGATATATTGAAGCTACATCTCAAGACATCAGTCAAGAAGTCACCATAGCAACACCCACCCGTAGTCTGCGCTCCAGCAGGTATATCTCACTGGTCATCCCCAAAGCCAACACCTCCTTTGGCCACCATTCCTTCCAGTTCTCTGCTGCCAATGACTGGAACGAACTGCAAAAATCTCTGAAGCTGGAGACTCTTATCTCCCTCACTAACTTTAAGCGTCAGTTGTCAGAGCAGCTTATATGGTAATAAATTATGTATCATAAAGGCAAAATGTTGGGAAACGTCAAAGGTAAAATATAGTAAACATGATTGACATTTTGTAATCCAGATGCATGCTCAAATAAGGAATATAGCCAATACAGTGTGTAAACATGCATTAATGTATGTATGTGTATTGTTTTTAAGAAAGGGTCTGCCACCAATATAATGAGATTAGGGAAGAGGCCTCATATGGAAAAGCGCCCATGGCCTTTTGGAGTAAGCCACATGTGACATCTGGACATTGAAAGATAAGGGTAGAATGGCACTAAAATAAGTTAATCGTTTGCCCTAAGGGGAGTGACTGTATATGCTATGTAACATGATTATGCA